GAACTGGGAAAGTTGTGATCAAAAATGATGTGATCCCTGGTTGAACTGACCTGGACTAAACAAAGTCTGCTTGATTTTCATGACTGTTGAAGAAAAAGTTGATGAGATCTCTTTTCTGTTGCATTACCAGCTTGTGAAGCCAAAGTACCGCTCCCTGTCATACCCATATCTGCTGCCCAAGTCTCACACCACAGCTGGAGAACAGCGATACCAAGTCCCCAACTGCATCCCCACCAAAGTACAGGTTAGTAGTGGTACTACCTCCAAGTAGGCTACTTTGGGGTTGTTGTTACTTTTGCTGGCTTAGCTAATAGTCATCTGGTGTCAGTTATGTGCCTTAATCTTCGGTGAATTAATTAGTTTTACATTAATTATAAAAAGTTGAAGCTACAAACATTGGTTTATATACTGTAATATACATTATTATGTCGTTTGTTGTGTCCAGATCAGCCTGTTTCTCACTTTTCAGACAGGAGCTTTATGATTATTAGGCCAGAACGTTGCCACTTGAACTGACATGTTGTTTTGTGGTGTCCCCCAGAGCTCTGTCTTAGGTCCAATTATGTTTCTATTCAATTCAATTCAGTTTTATTTATATAGCGCCAAATCACAACAGCAGCCGCCTCAAGGCGCTTTGTATTGTACAGTAGATCGTACAATTGTACATGATTCCTTTTGCACACCAATCCTTTCATTTCCATGAAGATAATATTCAGTGATTCATCTCAAATAACCTTCGTAGAGTTTGACTGCGTTGTCTTGTGGTCAGTTTAGGATCTGTAAGGCAGAAGTGAGACACCCAGTGTTGGAAACTTATTTCAGTCACTTGAAACCAGGACGGTTTTGGTCACGATCATAGTTGACGGCAGGAATGTTGATTGAGCAGCAGATCAATAACTCAGCCACATCAGTTGTGAATAAGATCTTTATTGTCCTTGTTTGGGGTTCTTTCCCAACTCAGAGGTAGAAATCCACTGTTCTCTGGCAGAGAACCAAAAACTGTACAAGGTCAGACTTGGAGGTGCTGACTCTCATTCCAGCTGCTTCACGTTCAACTGCAAAATGCCCCAGCACCTGCTGAAGATCACACTCAAATCAAACCAACAAAACATCATCTGAGTTACAGTTCAGAGGTTCCCAAAACATAAAAAAGACAAAATCATGGGAAATGTTATAAATTTTCCACATAGTTATTTGTTTTTAATTCATTTGCAAACCCACATCAGGTTATCCAGCATGGAAAAATTAAGCAGAATAAAATCAAAATATGGGAATAAATGGGAATACAACTAGCTGATAACCAAATATAGAAACATGTTCACAAGGAACAGTTTCCAACTTTTTTGTAAATGTTTTGTAAAAGCTGAAATAAACACAAAAAAGTAATAAATCCTGTCTGTGAAGTTTCCTCTGACTGACAGGAAACAGAGTCCTGTGACTTATTCCCATCGCTAATCTGTGTTCCCTCAGATCCTGCGCTCAGCTTCAGATTGGTCTGCTGGCATCAAATACCACGAAGAGTCCATCCACAATGCCTACGTCCACGTCATCAAGAACAGCCAGCACTTCATCTACATAGAGGTTTTCATTTTTACAGATATAACACCTTCCTGTAGTAGAAGTATAACAACAAAAGTAGAAATTGTTTCTAAAAGCTACAACATAGAAAGATACCAACTTGATTTTTAAAGCTTCAGCCTCATATTGGCTTCATGTTCTTGCAGAATCAGGACTGCGTATGCAGCATGAAGCTTTGATATCCACAGGAGCACTTTGCAGAAAATATTTATGACCTTTGTACAGGATATAAGAATGTTTCTGTTTTTATCTCCCAGAATCAGTTCTTCATCAGCTGTGCCGACAACAAATATGTTTTCAACCAGATAGGAGACGCGATTGCAGAGCGCATCATTCGTGCGTACAGGTAAAACACAAATGCACACAGCGTAACGCTGAAAGAACTCACAGTTTGTCGATGTTTGTGTGGCTGCTGTGTGTTTAGAGTAAAAACACTCCGATGGACTCGACACTCGCTCTGGTTTATTGTGACATTATTTCCTGGAAACGCAGTGTTTGTGTTGCTCTGTGTACCTTCCACATGTTTAACAGATGAACTCGGTCTGACACAGTCGAAGAGCTCGTTGGATACTTTCCTTTTCGATGGTTCTCCTCTCTGTGATGTTTTGCCGGCGGGAACTTGAGTTTATTCCATCCTGCAGAAACACAAACCTGCCCCGACGTCTCTGTGGCTTCAGTTTATAAACAGTCCAGGATGGTTTTTGATGAACCTTCCAGCTTTAGTGGATGCACACGCAGGAAAACATGTGCAGCATATTTAATGCATAATTCATTTAAAGATCTTTAAAATGGCCACACTCTGAAGTTCAAATTCTTAATCGAATCTTTGTATTTACACTATAGCAGATGTGGTTTTTTTTACCCGCATAGACACGTTTTTATCTGAGTTTATGCTTCTGAGAAGACACATCTGTTTTTGCACCAACTTCCTGGGCTCAAAGTCAAAGTTGTGCACAAGAACAATGTCCATTCTGGAAAATTCACAGACTGCTTGTTGTTGTACAGTTATTTAGAAGATTGTTTTGATTTTATAGTCATGTTTAGAAGGACTGAAGTACCTCTTCCTCCTCTCAAGTTACTGAGCTCATTAAAATAGCCTCTAATGAGTGAGGCGCGAATATAACCCTCTACCAAGCTATTGGATATTTCGGATGTTCTGGTCCTGGAGGCACTGATCTTTGTTTGATGGCATCTCGGATAAGGTTGCCAAATTGATGGACAGTTAATGGATGTTTAATCACCATCTGAGGTGTCAAGCCTGGTAGCGAACTCTGCAGTTGAGGGAAAAGCTGCCAATCATTGGACGTCATCAAATAAAAACAAAAGAGTCTAAAATATTGTGAAAAGCTTCATAAATACACTGAAATGTTGTGATTTTCTATGTGTGATTTTTAGGGAGGGTAAAACGTATCGCGTTTATGTGGTGACGCCGCTGTTGCCGGGCTTTGAAGGAGACATCAACACTGGAGGCGGCAGCGCCATCCAGGCTGTCATGCACTTCAACTACAGGTGTGTGTGTGTTTTTGTAAGTAACAAAGAATGAGCCATGTTAAACCACTGCCACACCTTACCTTTTAACACACACACCTGTTATATCTGCCGTGTGTGTGTGTGTGTGTGTGTGCCTTCACTCCGTTCCTTTTTTTGTTGAAGCATTTTTTCCTCGCCCACATTCTTGAGTAAACAGGCAGCGCTTCCTGTTCAACCATGCTGACACACACAGAGCCTTGTGTTGTGTGGAATGTGGACTTGCTGCTAAACCTCCTCTGTCTCTCTGTCCCTGCAGGACCATGAACAGAGGAGACCACTCCATCATTTCCCAGCTCAAGAGAGAGAGTAAGTCAGCACTGCAACACCCTGATAGTTACAGGGTGTCACGTAGCTGCTCTGGTTGGGACTATGAGCTCTCTTTGC